AGGAAGAATAGAATAAATATTCTAGAATAGAATAGAATAGAATAGAATAGAATTCTTTATTGGCCAAGTGTGATTGGACACACAAGGAATTTGTCCTTGGTGCATATGTTCTCAGTGTACATACATTCAAGATACATTCATCAAGAATCATAAGGTACAACACTTAATGATAGTCATAGGGTACAAATAAGCAATCAAATCATACCAGGAAACAATCAATATAAATCGTAAGGATACAAGCGACAAAGTTACAGTCATACAGTCATAAGTGGGAGGGGATGGGTGAGCGGAAGGATGAGAAGATTAATAGTAGTGCACACTTAGTAAATAGTTTGACAGTGTTGAGGGAATTATTTGTTAGCAGCATTTATTTATTCATATTTTATTTTTTTATTTTATTTTTATTCATTCATTTATATTTATTGACTGCCCATTTTAGGCCATGCTCCTGAGGGCTGGGGAGGGCAAAAATGAGTGAAAATGGGTGTGTTTTTGCCCTCCCAAGCCCCCAGGAGCACTCTGTAGGCTTTCCAAGTGCTCGACATGCCTGTTTTTTTGCAAAAAAATGGACCTGTTTTTGTGAAAAGCGGGCCCATTTTTTGCTCGTTTTTGCCCTCCCGGCCTCAGGAGCACTTTGCAGGCCTCTCAAACTCTCTGCATGCCCTGTTTTTCACAAAAGAATTGGGGTGCAGAGGGTTTGGGAGGCGTGCTCCTGGGGGACAGGGAGGGCAATTTTTTTTTCTTTTTAATTTATTTTTTCAAAATCTTGGTGCGTCTTATATTCCAGTGTGTCCTATAGTCCGAAAAATATGGTATGTTTGCACCTGTTCTCGTTCTAGTTAAACTAGCTGGGGAATTCTGGGAATTCTGGTCCACACATCTTAAAGTTGCCAAGGCTGAGAGACACTGGTCCAGTGAAACATCACACACCGATAATAGAAGCAGTCTCTCTTTTTCTCTGATCCCTCTCCCTTCCTGGCCGTATCATCTTTCCACACGCGTATTTATTTTCCCTCTTGAAATCAGGTTTTTGAGGCCATGAAAAGTTATGATCTCGGCTGCACTGCTGGCGGTGGGGAGGATTCCCTGGGTGTCTTCGCCGATGCTGGTCTCTCAATTCGTGCCGGCGAGCAGCGCAGCCCCCTCCGGAAGGGTGAGTAACCAGTCCTGAACAGTGGTGGGATTCGAACATTTTTACTGGTATTCAGCAAGTTCTGTGGGCGCAGCTTGGTGGGCATGGCATGGCTTGGTGGGCATGGCAGGGGAAAGATACTGTAAAATCTCCATTTCCTCCCCACTCCAGGGGAAGGTTACTACAAAATCCCCATTTCCTCCTCATTAGTTGAGACTCGCGAGGCAGANAAGATACTGTAAAATCTCCATTTCCTCCCCACTCCAGGGGAAGGTTACTACAAAATCCCCATTTCCTCCTCATTAGTTGAGACTCGCGAGGCAGAGAATAGATGGGACGGGGCCAGTCAGAGGAGGCATTTGCCGGTTCTTCGAACTACTCAAAATTTCCACTTCTGGTTCTCCATAACTGGTCAGAACCTGCTGAATACCACCTCTGGTCCTGAAGGAAAAGAAAGGGGCAATTATCAGCAGTTTCAATCCTCATAGTCATAAAGAAAATAAATCATAGAAATCGCAAAGCTGTGAGGGGAAGAAATGAAATAACCCTCTTGGTTGGCTCAGAGAGATGTAAGGTTAAAACTATCAAAATCTCGCAAGGAGAATGCCCTTTTCTTCTTCTTAAATTTGTGCCCTCTTGTCTGAAATTTCAACCAAATCTCACAGGTTTTTGACAACTTTCTAGTAGCCTGGGCATTCATTGGCGCCCTTTCACTTGCTTTACTGTCTGACAAGTATTTATTTTCTTCTTCTGTTTCTGAGAAACCGCAGTTCTCCTTGTCCATCAGGAAACCCTTTTAATACTGTTAGTGGGATTTTATGTATGTATTTATTTATTTATTGAGTTTCATGTTGTGAGAATGGCTGATGGCCGGATTCCGAAAGATCTCCTGTATGGAGAATTCGTGCAGGGAAAGCGCCCCAGAGGGAGACCACAGCTACGATATAAGGATATCTGCAAGAGGGATCTAAAGGCTTTGGGAATGGACGTTAATAGCTGGGAAAACTTGACCTCTGATCGTTCAGCTTGGAGGCTAAAGACACAGCATGGCCTCCTCCAATTCGAAGAGACAATTGTTTGGCAGGCTGAGGCAAAGAGACAGTCCTGGAATCAGCGAAATCTGGGGGCTGGGCAGGGGACAGAATGTAACTGCCCTCAGTGTGGAAGGGATTGCCACTCTCGAATTGGTCTTTTTAGCCACACCAGATGCTGCTTTAAGACCTCTTTCCAGAACACAACACCATAGTCTTTGGAGACTGAAGGATGCCACGTATTGAGTTTCTGTTTATCTTTTCCTTTTCATTTCCACAGCACATGGATGTGAAGAAAACGCTTCCCGGAAAAAGCGTTCCCTGTCATTTCAACAGGAGATAGACAAGAAAGGTAAGTGCTGGGAGATGAGGTTCTCGATTGTGATTCTAGGAACATGGTTGCTCCAATTTAAGCAAAGAACTTTACTGGGGAGAGCCAGAATTAATAATAGACCGGGGAGGACCCAGATCAGGATGGAGCCCATTAAGTGGTTTGTATGAATGTGTGTTGTTGCTGGGGGGGTGGGGTGTTATTATTTTACTAATTTATTGTTTTATTATTTTTATTCTTATTATTTCTTTTATTTAGTTTTTGTATCCGTGTAAGCCGCCTTGAGTCTCCATGTGCGAGTTGGCGGCAATATAAATTTTCAAAACAAAACCAAAATAAAAAATAAAATAATACAAATAGGAATGCAAATGGAGATGCAAATACAAATACAAATACAATGCAATCCAATCCAATACAATACAATAGCAGAGTTGGAAGGGACCTTGGAGGTCTTCTAGTCCAACCCCCTGCCTAGACACGAAACCCTATACCATTTCAGACAGATGGCTATCCAACATCTTCTTAAAGACTACCAGTGTTGGAGCAATCAACTGCTGTTCCGCTGATTAATTGTTCTAACTGTCAGGAAATTTCTCCTCAGTTCTAAGTTGCTTCTCTCCTTGATTAGTTTCCCCCCATTGCTTCTT